ACTTGGAAAAATGCTTTTGTCAAAGTATTTTGCATTATGATGGGAAGCATGGTGGACATAGAATCAATAAATCTCAGAGTCCAAGGGAACTCTATGTAAAAACCTACCAAGTGGGCGACTGCCTTCTCCACAAACTCTTCATTGAATTTTTGGACAGGTTTAACATGTTGAAAAATAAATAAGGAAGAATATTTCTTATATTGAGACTGAAAACTATTTTTCTGTGTATAGTGACAGCTTTACAAACCAATGAGTGGAAATATGCATCATTAATGTCATTAGCAACCCTGGTCTTTGTTTTCCCTTTGCAGATGTATTTAATAAATCTTATTAATTTTTCTTTTTTCCATCAACTGAGCCCTGATGCAGACTTAGAGATCTTAACGCAGGTCTTCACAGTTGGCACTACCATCAATCAGGTCTTGCACTTATATGGAAAACAGTTTATTAATAAAACCACACTGGTTTATTCTATTTTTTACCTAATAGCATTTTAAATATTTGAAAATAGCGATTTATTACTTCCTAACTTTTCTCTCAGCCAAACTGATGATCATAAGTTTTCCAGCCATTCCTCAACTATCCTGGTTACCAGATCCTTCAACACAGATACATACCAATTCCTCAACAGCCCACTTAAACTATTTAACAGAATTGAAATCATCATTCTGGATATGGACTACCTAGGCAAACACAGAATGAGATGGACGCTATTCATGAGGCTTGGACAGCATGGGCATCAGAGCCATCTCTTTGCACACATCCTTCCATGTGTGCTATGATTTCATAATTTTCTGCTCATTGTGTACATTTAAAGTTATTTTATTTTTCACTTTGAGTGAAATTTTACATTAATTCTATTATTTTCCTATGTATTTGGTCTATCACTCAAATTGAAGAGTTCCTGAATCTGTCATCAAATACTTATTTTCACTCTTTCAGCTAGTAGTATTATGCCCTTATCCAAGATATGAACAAAAGTTTTGGAAAGGACTAGAGTAAGGGGAGAGAAACACACAACTGGAAGACTCCTTTCCAAATCACATCAATCCAATAATCAACATCATTCATGTATAGTCCCTCAAGAAATTATTAAAAGACTTAATACATGGCCCATATTATACTTTCTTGACTGTCTGAGTTACCATGGAAAATCTTGATTTACGTCTTGGTGAAAATTCAGAAACACGATTTCCAAACACCCTTCTAAGAGTAACGTCAAACAAACAAAGACGCATCCAGACTTGCATGTTATTTTGTGAAACTATATTAGCTCTTCATAAATACATACCATCAAAGATCTTACAAATCATAGGTTTCATTATCTGCTCTGTGTACATCAAATTAACAAATCCATAGTTTCTGACAGGTAACTACTTTGCTATTTGTGCGGAAAATCACACCAGATATTTGTCTAACTCTAGAGTACTTCTTTTAATAACACAGGCACACTGCCAGTAACTCAGCAGTCTCTTTCCCAGTCCCTTCAGCTCGCTCAGATGGAATTGTCCTGGGCAGGAGACTTAACTTCACTTGGAAATCTGAAGTTCTCTTTGATAGACTCCTTCTCTTTCTTGGGGTTCCAGTTTCTGATATAAAAGCATGCTCTAACCTTTGTGTTGCCATAATAATTCTTCTTGACAGAAAAGACAAATGAAGGGGAAGCTAAGCCCTTCTGCTTTATTTCTGTCATCCACTGTTTTAATACCAACTCCAGTGAGTGAATTTGGTCCTTATTTCAAACATCACTTATCCATGGTCCTTACAATTTCATGGTCTGGAATACTTTTCATTGTTCCCAGCTCATGTGAATTCATCCTTTAAGACACTGTCCTTCAACTGTATTTCATTGTCTTCAGTACGTCCCAGGCTAGTTGCTTTGCTTGCAAAATGAATTTATTGTAGAATATTTGGTATAACTGTCTTTGTTTCTTTGGATAATTTCCCGTTTCCTCCTCATTGGAGTGATTTGTTTCTCATAGTCAGAGTTTTGGGTATTGTTTTGTTTTATTGAGGGGACATCTCTTTTAGAGTTGAAGCCATGGGATTCCATCGATTGCTTTCTGAATTTTTTGAAAATATCCTCACGGGCTGCCTCCGTAGTCATTATAAGTCATTTCCCTCCATGACTATCTGGTTTAACCTCATATGATCCAGAGGAGCCTGAAAGTCACCCAAGGTCATTTAGCTTGGTAGAAACCCAGAGTAATTTTCAAGAGATTCATAACCATAGAAACAGACAAAGCAATAATTCAAATGATAAGAAATGGAAAGAAAATAATAACAAGATTAAGGTAAGTAAGAGGCCTGGGAGCAGTAAAGGATGAAGGACAAAATTAGCTGGGGAACTACTAAGGCAGAAAGCCCCCTTTTTGGCATGTGCCTTGGGGTGGGGAGTAATCTAGGACCAGAGCTGATTTCACTTCTAGTTAACCAACAAATTCCACCGCATGATTAAAATTAGCACAATAGTACATTGGCCTCTTTTATTATATCTTCCTTCTGAAAGATATAATGATTAGCAAAGTAGCACAAAATTTGCTCATATACACTAGTTTATGTCCTAATGTTAAGAAGTCTGTGTTCTGTGCTCAAACTGCCCAGGTTTAAATGCTGTTTTTAATATTTCTTGGCTTTACAATGTTGGGCAGATTCCTTATTGCTCTAAGCTTTTTCTTATCTGTGAATACGAGTAACAAGTACTTCCCATATGTTCTAATGAGGATTCAATAAGATAAAACTCAAAAACACCTTGTACATTTTAGGTCATCAATAAATAACATCATGCAAATTATTGTATCCAAATAAGGCATCTGGTTAATTTTCCGGTTATGCAGGTAGGTATCCAATATCAACTCTATCAAACATCTCTGCTATATTTAGGATTGGAGCCTCTGTTCCCTTCATCTGTCCAAGCATTTCAGAATCTTCTCTAGTACTGATGTCACCTCTGTTCTCCTACCCGTGTACCTCTTCACCCATATTCTCTGTTTTGTCTCACGCACAGCTCGGTGGGTCCCACAGACACGTACTCGTGCTGGGTTATACTATGCCATCTACCCATCAGTGATCAATTATACAGGAAAAGATTACCCTTCATTGCCATATTCTGTGTATTATGAATGGTAAACCTTCAAGTCTTAGTGGTAGCTGTGACACTATATTTACCAACTTTTTAAATCTTTATAGTAAATGTATTACCGATTTTTTTTAGTCATTGGTTTATAAACATATGTAGCTATGTGTCATTTTTAATCCTTTTCTAAATGTGTGCTTTTTTCTTCTAAATACTCTGTGCCTCCTTCAATTTTATTATTCCTTATATGCTGTATCCAAGTTCTATGACACTAATGTTTTATACGCTATAATCTGGACATTTTTCTTCCTCTTTATTTTCAGTTTAAATTCCTTCTGAGCATTCCCTCTTCCAAAAGCTTCTAAGACATATTGCATCCCATTAAGGCCATGCTACTGGGTATCTTCGCAGAGGCGACTACTCAATATGCATCTTGTCCTTTCTGCTGCAGAGGCCTGACCTTCAGTCAGAAGAGAACCACAAAATATGCAAAGGGTCATTTGCAATCAGTAAGACTCAAGCTGACCCCATGATTTAATAGTTACATAAATTGAAGTTGCCATTTAAACTCCCCGAGGCTACAACAGCTGCCTTACCTGTACCCCACTGTCACTGTAAGGACCAGTAAGATGAGGTTTTTTTAAGCAGTGAAGGCACTAATCAAATATAAATTGTTATTTCTTTCCACCGTTACAATTAATAGCAGAGATGTAAGTTTCTTAGATCACCTACCCGGTTCCTGTCTAACTTGCCGAGTTTCACTGAAGTTAAGAGAGAAGACCTGCCCCAAATCATAGCTGCCTTAAGGAGAGGACTCCACAATGGCCAGACGATTTCATCACAACATTTAGGAATGCACAGAAATTATCAGAAGCACTAGGGACTCTCAGCATGAAGTACCCCACATATTCCAAGGACGTTTCATAGGCTACTGAAAACCATAATGACTACACTCAACAAGAATAGATATATATACAAACACGCACAGTATTCTAGAAGCATTCATATAGGTATTATAGTAATTTAAAGGAAGAGAATGTCATTTCATGGATAACAGTAAGAACCTCCCTCTTTTGCCCGTTATTTTCTCTGGGATTATTGCTTTACTATCATCTTGTTTCTTCCAATTTGAGTGTTCATTCAAATTCTCTCAATTGAAAAGAACAGATTTTTACTATTCAAAAGTTACTGGTCCTGGCTTAGTTTCTGAAGTGATCTAGCCCGCGGAGAGTCAGAAGCTTAAACTTTCCAGCTTCTACTGCTTTTGAGTGCTTACAAAATTATTGCGATCACAGAGAGACTAAAGGCAGTTAATGTATTTTACAAATTACTTGGAGACCTAAAGGAGCATTAGAAATCATTGTACTTTAAGCTACTTATTCAACAATGTTCATACGTTTATTCAGAAGATTTTTCAGTGGAAAATTTTTCAACTCAATTTTTTAAAATTATTACACAGAAAATTTTAATCTTTGAGGAAAAGAAGAATAAATTATTGTGCACACATTCCATTTTAAATAACTCACTGTGCTTATGTTTATTGATATTAATGTCACTTTAACTTGACATAATTTTAAGTTTTTAAAAAAGATAAAATGTATAATATTTTTGAAATTCATTTTTGTGTATCCTAAAATCATGATGGCATTTGACTGTAGGAATATCCTCAGTCAAATCCTCTATAAAATAGTCTTTACGTCACCTAAGGTGATATGTGACCTTCATTTATTGCTCAGATTAAAAAAAGAATCCCTTTAGATACTTAAAGAAGAAATCATATAGTGAAATGCAGCATTATTACCCCAGGTAGGATTTAGTAATACTGTCAGACCATTTATAACAAGAAGTTTGTGCTTTGCGCAGCCATACTCTATTTTTAAGGTTTATTTGAGTTAAATAAGTGCCGGACGATAGGTTAATTTACCCAGACATCGAGTTTCGGCGCCGCTCCAGAGTCCATTTGCTAGGCATTCTCTGACGTGAGAACCCACAAGTGTGTAGCCCGTGTTGCATGTAAATATGGCTGTGGCTCCATAAACTGTCAACGTTCCAATCTTGTTCCCATTTGGGGGAAAGGACAGGCTTCCACATGAGATAACTAGAAAGAGAAAAAAAAGTGAATAAAATTTCAAGTCTGCAGATTACTCTTTCACTTAGAAATGACAAAATCTTCAGTCTTAATTTTCATTAAGAACATGGGTGGGGGGATGTTTGCTTTGGCTTAGATAGCTCACCCATCTAGGAAGTTTAATTTTCCTTCTCTTATATCCTTGAAATGAAACCTTGAAAGTTTAGAGTGGATTCCAAAGTATTCTAGATCACTTTACCCACTGTTATTTTTCATCCTTTCAGATAAGTAAACTTTTCTTAAAAAAATACGCAGTAGATGGAGCTGGCCCCATGGCGTAGCGGTTAGGTGCGAGCACTCTGCTGCTGGCAGCCCGAGTTCGGATCCCAGGCGTGCACGGATGCACCGCTTGTCAGGCCATGCTGTGGCGGCGTCCCATACAAAGTGGAGGAAGATGGGCACAGATGTTAGCCCAAGGCCAGTCTTCCTCAGCAAAAAGAGGAGGATTGGCATGGATATTAGCTCAGGGCTGATCTTCCTCACACACACACACACACACACACAAAAAGGAATTACACAGTAGACAAACGTAGTCGCACACAAACAAACTGATCAAATGAGTTGGCCATCGGTCCACTTTTCTGTCTACATCAACCACAAGAATCACATAATAGTCAGTGGACACCTCTGTTTGCCTAGCAGGAATTAAGAAATGTGAATGATCTTTCCCAAAGTCAGTCAACTGGTACAAATTACTGTGGAATTAAAACCTAGGAGGTCCCACTCCATTAGAAGGATGCAGTGCATTTTTTCTTTCATTTACTTGCATAATTTGTTGGGATCATGAGCTCCATAAAAATGTTGACTATACAGGACATGTGGAGCCTTCCTGAAAATTAACAAATATAAAATCTAGATCTTATGTGGTTGTAGATAGGGTAACCGTCCAACCCCGGTGTAGACCTGCTGTCCCAGTGTAATTATTGATAGTGTCCACTTTCACCCACAAGACTATTCCAATTTGGGAAATACGTTAAGTGGTCACTTTTTTTCATTATAGATACTTATTACACCACCCGATTCCTTGCACTCCAGATCCATAAACGTTTGAGCACAGACAATCGTAGAATCTCAGAGGAGGAAGAAATCATGAAGTTATCAAGGCCAAGTGCCCGTCAGAGTCTTAAATGTGCTTTAAACAGGTGAGAATGGAAGTGTTTGAAAGGCTCTTCTAGGAGGACTGCTAAAGAATTTCTGCTGCACTAACAGAATTATTATCTGTAAAGGGCTTAGGGCAAAGCTGGCAAGGAGCTAAAAATTACTGAGTCTTTATTAATAGCACACTGATAAGAGGCAGTAAAACATAGTGATTAAGAATATGGAGTCTGGCTGCAGGCTGCCCAGGTTCAATCCTCACTCTGCCAGTTACTAGGTAAGTGATGTTGGCCAATTTCCTCAGTTTCTTGGCCCTTCTCGGTTCATCTGTTAAGGGGTGATGCTGTAGGGGAGGAAAAATAATTTTCCCTCCACCCTTCTAGGTTCTTGGCTGAGAGTCCCCTGTAATAAATGACAGATTAACAGGAAAAAAACACAGAAGTTTAATAATATGTATACTTCTGTGGTGGATCAGAATTGGCCACCCCAAAATGTGTCTCTTTGCCTTGATTATTTTTAAGAACAAAACACTGAAAGAAACTTTGACCTTCCCCCTAACTGCCTAAAATAATTTAAGATAGAAGGCCTGTCCCCAGGACAGGCCATCACCACAGATAACTCTGCGTGTGGGTAGACTGGGAGGGTGCTTGCTAAGCCCATTCTTATCAAACTTCTATCTACCAAACATTGGCTTTTCCATCTCCATGCAAATTGCCTTCCTCCCATTTGAAGTTCCAAACCACTACCATCAACATCCTCCTTTGTCTTTAGCTGAAAGTGGTATTTAAGGTGACAACCTCAGCCATTCTGGCGAGTTACTCAGTTTTTCTGGGTTTCTCCCATGTGTACATGTTATTAAACTTTGGTTGATTTTCCCCTTTCATTCTGTCTCCTGTCAATTTAATTCTTAGACCATCCAGAAGGACCTAGAGGGTAGAGGAATTGTCTTCTTCCCTTATGCCTCCTATATACATGGGAGATACCCAGGAAAATGGAGTAACTCTCCAAAATGGCCAAAGCTACCACCTTAAATACCATCTCCAGCCAAAGACAACAGAAGACGTTGCGGGAAGGGGAGCCAGTTATGGGAGGCGACAGGCAAGCACAGCAAGAGTCAGGCTGTTACGCAGATTTAGGTCCTTGCCTTCTCCATTGATCAGTTTCTAGAGATTGAGTCATCCCCCTCTTCCTGGTACAGAGAGGGAGACATCCTTACAAATGGAGATTCCCCTTATTAATGTCAACGACTCTTACAAAGGGCAACTTCTGCTCTGTTTTCAGAGATTCTCCTGTGTCTGCAGCCTCTCAAAAATAATCAGACCAAAATCTTCAATATGCCAAAGAGGTATATTATGGGATGGAAAATTCTGCTTGCCTTCAATGCAAGCACCTGCCACATGATGGTGCACTGGATTCAGAGAGAGGACATGTGTCAGTGCTTAAAGCACAGGACCAGGACTCAGTCGGGGTTAGCGAACAGTGAAGTCTTATCTCAGGACCTATTTAGTGAACTGAATCAAAAGTATGTAAACCTTTACTCATCACTCAAGTGAAGAAAAATTTTATGCATGAACCATTCCACCTAGTCTTTTGAATTAAGCTGATTTTACTGCACGATGGGATAACCCTGGTTCCCTTTCAAATGGACAGACAGACACAGCCAGGTTATGTGTGTTGTAGGGGGTACTGCTCACCTGAAATTTGGAAACTTCAACTCTAGAGCATCCCACGGTCAGAAGGTTATTGCTGTAAGAGCCTCCACGATTTATTAGTTTCTGAGACTGCTAAACTCTTATAGGGTCATAGCTTATGCATTTAGTAATATTGCCAACATGTTTGCTCCACAAAACGTCAATGAATTCGAATCGGATTTAGATATTTTACAATTCGTTATGAACTTTCCACTAAGCCTTTTCCCAAACATAGTATGAACTTCACCTTGAGCTGTGATATTTAAAGATCCATTTGTAGCCATTTAGGATAACTGGACTGTGTTTTGAAACTTCAACACTACTCAGAAATGTGTTCAATAGCAGTGAGGTCTGAGGACACCCCCTCCCAGAGGTCTTCACGCACCTTTAGTGGTCCACTAGCAGAAAGGCTCACCCGGCTTTTGCACCTGTTCTATTCTTTTAGCCTCTGTTAAAAATACCCTGGTGACAAAAAGATTTTACGTGTGTCCTCCACTAAGGTTCACTAGACTGTAAGGAAGAACTAACAGAGCAACATCTTAGCTTTTCAGCAGCTGGATAATGGGGTCTCAGACGGAGAGTTTCAGTTGGCAGTAAAGCCAATACATTAATGAGGATAGCAGCACTAATTTGAAAAATCTAGCCTAATGGAAAGAGAGAACCCCCCATCACGAAAAAAGAAAAATGACCTTTGTCAAACATCAAAGCGAAAGGCTTATTTCCATGTTCTTTTCTCCCTTCGAGTTTCCAAAATGAATTCATTAAGTTTGCTTCTTTCCCTTCCATTAAAAATGTATTCATGCCCACAGTCAAAGTGCCCTCTCTGACTTCTCGGAGTGCATCTTGCACGCAGAAGATGCTCAGCTAAGGGATCCAGAATGCCCCCCTAGCTCTGCCCGATCTGCTGTCGACAGTGCATCTTCTCACCATCACCATGGTTTACAAGCCATCTGCCTCTTTACCCCCAGGGAAGCCTCTTTCCTTGAATTCTACAATTATTTTCCTATTGAAGTCCCCTACTTTAAAAAAAAAAATCATATCGTGACATATCATTTCTCGTACCTGTAAGACCAGCATCCCTGTCAGGAGTATGGATATTATTTGTGTGTGTCACAAATATATATAAAGTCAAGAGTAGGTACTTCCAGATATGTTCTAGCTGGAAAAAGCCTAATGAGCATGTCGATGGACATGAATAGTGAACATATGACCTGACACGCATGTGACTGGGGCAGGGCTGTTTATCATCAGGAAAATGTTCAAAGGACACATGATAGTTGTCTTTAAGTATGTACAAGCATGCCATGTAGATCAGAGCCCAGAGGGATGGAGCCACAATGCCTGTATAGAAGTCAAAAAGAAGACCTCACTCAAAGTGAAAATTTTCAAACACAAAATCAGCTGTCCCTGAGGGTAATGAGTGTCACTGGAGTTATTTAATGCAGGCTGGACATTTACTTTTGAGTATATTATCAAGAAAATTCAACTTTAGGTCATTCTGAGTTAAGACCAACGTCCATTCCAACATAGAATAGAATAAGAATATCTGTTCCTTGGTCTCCTATGATAAAGATGAATTGTGCAGGCTGATGGACAAATACTCCCATATGTTTAATGGTCAGTCCGGGTGCACTTCCAAGTACAAATAGAAGGTCATCAAAGACCAACCTGCCTACTTCATGGTTTGATCCAGGTCTAATTTAAGAAAACTCTTAAATTAGCAGTTAGGAAAGAGGAACAATCCAGAACTCAGGCAATGTTCTTTGACTATCTATAACGAAATTCCAATAAAAGGATAATCATTGGTGGTCAATTCTCAAAGAGGGTGACTCAGAGCCAGCAGTTTAAATGCAGGGCTAAGGTCTCCGATCCTCTTCACCCCTGGAAACTGGGCTCTGTCTGAGGGCATGTTAAAATAGCCTGGAGTTAGAATAACACAAACCCTCCAAAAAGTGGTGACTATCCCTGATTTCGTAGTTGTTATGGGTGTGCTCAGAAGGTGGTCAAGGTCTTCTGTTCACCTGTGGCTAACTGGACAATCAGAATGGGACATTCTAACATTTCCAGCCCCTAAGCAGGTAAATAACCAAAACAGTTAAGTTCCAAGTGATCCTGTGCACAGGGTCATTCTAAGATAAACCATAGGCAAACAATGACAAAAATAAATAAAATTATAGTTCCTTAGCTATATAAGCAATTTGGATGATGACACACTTGAAGATTCTATTGGTCTAGTTCCAATAAAATGTAGAAAGCGACTTGGTGTTTCTCCTGTGAAAAAGCCACCACAGAGTGGTAAATTGGGCTTACAAAAATGTGTCATTTTAATTAACTTTAGTTAAGAAATTAAATAGCGTTTGAACTTCCTGGGGCTTATCATGCACTTATTTAATAGCAAAGTATACCATTACCAGGGTTCACATTGTGTTTTTCTGTGTGTGCATTGGAAAGGTACGGAACACGAGAGATAAATGTAATTAAATGTATTTTAAATATAAAGTGAAATGAAAATGAGTTATAGCAAAAATAAAACAATATATATATATATTTTTTTTCCTCGTAGAACTCAGAAAGTATTATGTACGTATTAAGGCTCTAATTTTTTTTTTTACTTTATTTTTGAAGGGTAAAGTTTTAAAGATCTTTAGAAATTTTCAACATTAAATTGTCTGTATTTTTTCTGCTATTATTAACTGACTTGTGAGAAAGTAGAGGATTACCATCCAGAAGTAGTAAATATTTGTCCCAAATCAGTAAAAGTAATAATATTTAACATTGAACTAAAGCTGGTTGTGAAAAATACATAAATAATGACATTGCGCCCATGAAAATAAATGTTAAGGAGAAATTTTAGAGAAATATTTGAAGGCTGGCCATTATTGGTGGTGTTCCCTCCACTGCTTTGTCTGCTGCCTGTGTGAAAGTGTGTCTCAGACACCCCAGAACTTCATGTTTGAAGGTGTTCTTCTGAAAGAGCTACTCTCAAAATGTGACTCAAGGACTCCTGGAATCCCCAGTATCCTCTCAGAGGCCTGCAAGCTTCTCCTTTTTCCAACCACATCACCGTCTAATTTTCTTTATATTCCTCAAAACAGAAACAATGTATTGTGACAAAGTTAGCGCAGAAGCTGGTATGAGAATCCAGCTGTCTTCTCTTAAGCTAAACAGTAAGGAGATTTGTAAAGTTTTTAAACAATGACACTATTGTGACTAATTTTTGTTCTGTTTGGAAATGAGTCATTATTGTTTATAAAAATATTTATGGTAAGATGTAATTGTCTTATTGTTATTGTAAATAAATGTACACACGTTAACGTTTTCTTAGTTTTAATTTAAATGAGTTAATGTAAGTACATTACAATCATTCTTGGTTTTAATTTATAATATGGTAAAAATCTTAAAAAGGTTTTTGGGGTCCAGTGGTAGGCAGAATTCTAAGATGGTCCCTCAGGATTCCCACCCCCCCAGTGTCAAATCCTCTCCCCTTGGTGCAGGCAGAACTGTGATTAGGTTACCAATCAGTTGGCTTTGAGTTCACCAAAAATGGGATTATGTCTGTGTGGGACTGACCTAGTGAATTGAGCCCTTAAAGGGGCTGAGTCCTTCCTGAAGGTCAAAGAGGTCTGAATGATGAGAGGGCCTGGTGAGGTGGGCGTGCAGGGCAAAGAGCCAAGCTGGCCTCCAGGACTGAAATCATTCCCCACCCACAACGAGTGACAAGGTGAGGGCTTCTGCCGTAAACTGCAGCCCCATGAATTCCACTGACACACAGTGAGCAGAGGCCCACCTTTCCCTGGTCAGGCCTCCAGATGAGGACACAGCCCTGCCAACACCTGGACTTCAACACGGTGAGACCCTGAGCAGAAGAGCCAGCTAAAATGTGACAAACATCTGCCCCCAGAAACTGTGAGACAACAAATCCGTGTTATTTTACACCACTAAGTTGTAATATTTAATGTGACAACATGGATGGACCTTGAGGGCATTATGCTCATGAAATAAGTCAGACAGAGAAAGACAAATACTATATGATCTCACTTATATGTGGAATCTAATAACAAAAAAAGCTCATAGCTACTGAGAACAGAGTGGTGAGTATCAGAGGCATGGGTGAGAGGTGGGTGAAATGGGTGAAGAGAGTCAAAAGGCACAAACTTCCAGTTATAAAATATGTAAGTTCTAGGATGTAAGGTACAGCATGATGACTACAGTTAATAATACTGTACTACATATTTGAAATTTGCTAAGAGATCAAATCTTGAAAGTCTTCATCAAAAGAAAAGAAAATTTGTAACTATGTGAGGTGATGGATATTAACCAGACTTATTGTGGTGATCAGATCACAATATATACAAACATCTAATCATTATATTGCACACCTGACACTAATATAATGTCATATGTCAATTAAACTTCAATAAAAATAAGTTTCTAGAAAGAAAAAAAATCGTTGATAAACTCTTTTATTAGTGCAAAATTAAAAAAAAAATCTCAATGGAGAGAGAAATTAATTGAAAAATCAATAACAAGTCTTTGAGGAAAAGAAAAACTTCAAGTGCGTCAAAAAAGTAACGATGAGCTCTATGTCAACTTTCCCTTCCCCACTGATCATACAAACAACACAATGCCATCTTTGGGCACAGATTTTGGTCTTTAACACTTTTCTCTGCCTAAACGTACCAGGGCCCTCAGAGAATCACTGATGCCATGTTTGGGTAAGGAAAATTCAGGATAAGCATAAACGTCCTGTCTTTATGAGGAAACAAGGATGATTTCAAAGATGTCGAAGGACAAGATGAAGAGGCCAGGTAAAAGGGACTCCCCCTGGTCAAACTGTGACCACTGGAACTAAAAACATTAATAAAAACACAAAACCAAAAAGGAAACAATGATATCAGTGGAACCCATAGCTTCTGGAGAAGGTCACATACCCATGATGACATTCAAAAGGGAGAAATAACAAAGTATGATGGAACAACCCGTGCCCAGCAATGGGAGTCAGTGACAATGACAATTTATAAGATACACCTGTGTCCTGAGATGGCTGGAGATTTCTCCAGATACATGGATTTATGGTTGTCATCCCTAGACCAAACTCAGTATGAGAACTACCAGATTAAAGTGTATTAAATTAGAGTCCGGAAAACAGACTTTCTAGACTTTCAGAAGGAAGGAGGCAGAAATACCATTAATGTACAACACAATCTTGACTTTTCTTCCCCCAAATGAGGGTGGAAGCTTGATGAGTTTGGTCAATGAGTTTGATTCAAGAATCAGGCTTTGGAAACACTCTTAGACAGAAGACTTTCCCTGTAAGTGTCAATTCTTCTAGAACAGCGATTTGAGCCTTTGTGGTATAGCAAATACCCAGATCTAGCACCACCCTTCTCTTAGCATCCCCAGACAATTGAGAATCAAGGAAAAGCTATGCTGGGACAGTTGCATTCGCAGAGGCCCCGTGTGAAGTCCCCATCCCCAAGAAGCTACGGCGTGCCTGTTTTTAAGATCCTGATTCTGGTTTGAAACTGACAAAGAGGATGTTGGCTGGAAGAGTCTCAAACAGGTGAAAGGTAAATGCTCCTACTTCATTCTCCTCCACTCTCCATGCTGACCCTAATGATCAGTCTCCAAATCTCAGAACTGAGCTTCAAGGTGGGTGCATGTGAGGATGAGCTGCATGGATGTAGGAAGGAGGCAGCTCACTAATTCAAACGTCTAACACAGAAGAAATTCAGTCTGAGTTCAGGGACCAGATAATGAGCCATCCAGACCAGGACACTTTTGAGAAGGACAAGGGAACCGTTAGTAATTACCCTGGAAAATGGGCTTCAGGCGGGGCTGTCCCGGGACACGGGGGTGGTGTCTGCTTTGACTATGGAGACTCTGAGCTTCTGGAGGTCACCAACCCTTCTTAATTTATCACTGTGTTCCTGGTGAAGAGTTTTAGTACGTGTTTAATTAACATTTGTTTTGTTAAAAGTTGAATTAGAATGATTATCAAAGACACAAAAGCATTAATTCTTTTGTCCTTTTTCCATTTTTATTCTGGTTTATTCTTACTAAGCTGTGTATTTTATAAATATGACACTGATCTAACGACTTGTTTCTGTGCATGATAATTTCCTGTGAACAATCAACTAAAGATTGTATATTAAACATGTCTGAATCAAACAGTACTCTGAACAATACTAATATTGTCTTATTTTTCTATTTATTCATATTTATTATGAAACCTACTCAAAGGTTTAACTGCTTATCTTGTACCTACGAGAATAATCATCTCCCTCTTCAAGACAGTCATTATTTGAGAACACAATATCCTCAACATAAATACTATTTCCCAAAATCCTAATTAGAAGGTTTGAATAGTCAGTGCATGGATTGAGAGTTATCTTTTTGAACATGGGCGTGGATTTGTTTTTGAGCTGATTTAAAATATTTGCTTGTTCTAATATTTCAAAGTTTATAAAATACAATCACTAACAAGGAAGAGACAGCATTTAACATTTCATCCAGCAGTCATATATTTTAAGTATGTCACATGAAAATACATATTCATCATTATGATGAAAAAGAAGCCATCTGGTTATATTGTTAATCTACAGGACCGATAGATCACAGTTCCTTAAAAAGTGGACGCCACTGATGTTGGTACTGAGAATGGCCACCCGTTACTCACCTCTACATCTCGGCTTCTCCTCCCCTATGCTCCACGTGCCGTTAGCTTGGCACTGCACGAGCCTCCGGCCCTCCAGATAATACCCGGGGCTGCAGCTCAGCACGACTTGAGCTCCATACTCATTCAGTGATCCCGAAACTCGTCTCCAGGTGACGTGCTCTGAGAGCTGAGCCTCGATGCCGGGGCAAGTCACCGCTAGAAAAGGAACATACTTAAAATTATCATCTTTTTCGTAAGGGATCAGACCATGCTTGCTTTTAATCGTAAGGGCCTTCTGTCTGAAAATGATCCTGCTGTGCAAAATAGACGCCATTGCCTATTACTTCAGGTTTTCCCTACTACGCACACAGTGACACGGGAAGGATCACACGTAAATGCATTCGATACCCTCATTGTAAGTGCATGGAAATCTTGCAAAGGGACTGTGATGTAAAGGGATAAATCATCAAAACAAAGTTTCGTGATTCATTCGGAGCTGAAAATCTTCATCATGTAAATGAAAACATGCATAGAAAATTCTTACGTATGATTTGTCTCAATATCCTCTGAGAAAGTTGGAATAGTAATTGAGTAAGTAAAAACCAGCCTGGATACAAATTTTCAGAAAATCAGCTGCCCTCATTCCCTCCCTCCCTATGCAACACACCTATATAATATTCTCTGTGTATTACTGGATTTATAAGCACACAAAATTCATATGCACACTGCATTAACACTGTGCAGAAACATGTCTAACAAGTCTTAAAGGAGATACCTATTCATGCTCTTAGGAAAAGGTCCAGAATTATAGCAGCTACTTGATAAAGAACAGTAGCAACAACTGTAAAAGCAGTAATAGCAGTAGTAATAGTAGTACTAGTACAATATTACTGGAATGGACTTCAACATGGTGAAAATACACACAGAATATGGTGTATGTGAGCATATATATTTTCTGAAAAGTACAATACTATTTAAATTGAATTTGATAATTCTCTAAATAGGAAGCTACCTGAGCTAACAGCATCACGGTCAACCACCCACAAAATTGACCCAATTGATTAATTTATTGAGCCTGGAAGAATTCGCTACAGAAACCATAGTTTTCTCAGAATGATATTAATAAATACATTTTACTTTTAAATTCTGTACAAACGCATTATAATTGAATCAGACATATCCAAAATGTTACAAAATCTCATTTAATCTTCTCTCAGTAATTGACCAGTGCTATGTGCAAATAAGCTGAAGAAATAGGCCTTTTTGGTATTATTACAATAATAATATCAGTGAGGTTTAACATGTGAAAAGGATGTGCTAATTTAAAAGTAATCCTTATTTCTATTTCTCTTAGGTATTTTTTAGATAAAACAATTAATCCAAAATTCATATGGATATTCCAGTGTTTTACCTAATGATACAAATAAAATTTTTCTCTAAGCAGAACATCTTTAGAATTCCAGGCACGAGTGCCTGTTCTGAAAGTTTTTAATGCCTTTAACCTTATAAATCCATAACTCAATTTCAATCCTACTGCATACTTCAAACAAAATTCATTTCATTTCACCAAAAAGTGTGCTTCTAGAATTAACTTCATTGTTTTTAAGTACCTGAACTATCTTTTACAAACTCTATTTCTGCCCTGGTGGTCCAGTGGTTAAAGATTCGGCACTCTCGCCCTGTGGCCTGGGTTCCTGTCCCAGTCAGGAAACACGCCACCCCTCTGTCACATTGTGGTGGCTGCGTGTTGCTGTGATGCTGAAAGCTATGCCACTGGGATTTCAAATACCAGCAGGGTCCCCCAGGGTGGACAGGTGTCAGCAGAGCTCCCAGACTAGGAAGAAGGATCTGGCCACCCACTTCTGAACACATGGCCATGAAAACTCCGTGAACAGCAGCAGAGCGTTGTCTGATAGAGCGCCAGAAGGTGAGAGGACGGTGGAAAAAGCCTGAGCAGGGGTCTGCTTTGCTGTACACAGGGTCCTAGGAGTTGGAATCCACTCCATAGCACTAACAAAAACAAATCTCTGCCAGGAAGGATTCAACGTTGGCCTACACGATGCAATCAGAAGTTTTCTTTGAGCTACGACCGTGGTGATTTCCAAATCTGGAACGATTACCTTTTTCTTCATGAAAATGGTATTTGGTTGCCTTTGTAATTATCTGATTCTGGTTTGTTTGCCTGCATCTCTTTCTCTTGCCAGGCTCTAAGCTGCTTTGTTGTAAACACTACATCTTTTTAGTTTTTCTTGAGTATAACGTCTGACTTACAGCAGGTGCCGACGGCATATATTTCTAAATGTGAGTGTGAGTACAGGAGTGTGCACACTATTGTGAGTGTGTGGGCTAGTGTGTGTGTGTGCTTTGAAAAATTACATGCCAAGAAGATGTTACGGCAGCGAGAAAACAAAGAAACTGAGACAATAAAAGCAAATGGTGGAAACTGAGAGTGAAAAGGAAAGTGAGAACTGGAGCAAACATTTAACGCGAAGTCCATCCCGTCCTTTAGTCAGCATAAGAGAAGAAAGAGAGGTGGGAGGGGCCCAGAAACTGCTGCAGACAAGATTTTATTTAATATTTCCACAGATGCTCTGAGGGAGGGAGTATCCTAAACCACCTGAGTGTGAACAACCTATGACATTACTCTGGTGGAGAAATCCGGAGTAACGTACACCAAGACGGTGTAAGAAGATGGTGTCCTCCGAGCAGTGATGAAGAAGGTCCCCTGCTGGTAAGTGTTGTCTCCATGCATGTCTGCATTCATGTGAAAACAATGCAACAGTCCCCAGAAACCCATCGCCCTGACATGTTGCTGCTGATGAAGTTGTCACCAAGAACACCCTTTGTTACAAGCCCTGGCCCAGCGGAATCACGGAGCCACAACCCTTCACCAGGACTATGAGCTTTGTGGGAGGAAACTAACTGGGAATGGAAAGAGAACATTTTCCAAGCCCCAAATATCCATTGCCTTCTGATTCACGCTTCGGGGAGCAGCCCTGGTCACCCGAGTCAGACACTTGAGACAGTTCTCCTGGGCTCTTTCTCACACCCCCGCACCCCAGATGCCACCAGGTGACCAGGGCCGGCTGAGGCCCCCAGGTAACCCCATTTCTTCTCTCCAGTCCTCACTGCCATCTCCTTGCGCAACCATCTACAAGTCAAACTCTGAGCTTTGGTGAAAAACGCCACTGCACACCCTTAAAAGAATTGTAAAAAGTATTTACCCCCTTGCACTTCTTCATTACAAATCTAAAAGGTTTCCTCATAAGTTTAAATAATTGGCAGTATATGATGTGTAAAGTATGATAAATATCTATGTCCTTAAAAAAAATCACTTTTCTCAGATCCAAGAGGATAATATCACAGCAATTTGATACTTTTGAATATTCATTAAAAAAATCCATGACTACCCCCAAAATTTATTTCAATCTTTGTTCTCCCTGAACTATTACTTCCATTCTACAATCCCCCCAGAAATGTAATCTAAGATAAGATATTCCTATGTTTGAAAGTCCTTTATGCATAATCCTATCATATTTATCAGTAGCAAAATTTGATTGTTATTTTATTATTAATATATAATTGATTAAGTTAACAACATAATAATTTTTGGTAATCCATTTTAAACACAAAAAGTAGCATTTCGCTGGCAATACACCAGTTAATGATAGAGACAGGGATTTTCTATTGTTCATGCATTACTGATTGTGAGAAAGAGACATGGTTTAGTATCAATTTTATTGCTATTTTTTATTTTCATAAATGTTTTATTATGGATATTTTATTTATGTTAAGCAGGCTTAACATAAATAAGCAGATGGAAAGGGAAATAGTTTGGTTACAGCGATATCTCTCAATTCTTTGCACTCATACTTGGTTATACACCAAATATCACCGTTATCAAAAATGATTTGCAGAAAGTCATTTAATTTTATTGAAAACAATGAGTTAGAATCTACCAGACTTGCAAAAAGAAAGCCACTGGATTTCTCCACACCTGCACCAGTGTTTTGGACTTTTCCCTCTCTTTTCCTCTTTTTTGTTTTGTTTTCTTTCTTTCTTTGTTTTCTGTTTTTGTTTGTCGTGTTGGGTTTTTTTTCTTTCTGTTTTTTAATATATTCAGGTAAATTTGTATTGAAACATACAAACAGAAACTGCACAAGTTGATATTATACAGTTAAATAAATCTTTACATGATAAACACACCCCCATGTGACCAGCAACCACATCAAGAACTGGAACATTACCAGCACCCCAGAAGCCATCTCATGCCACTCAGTCACTCACTATTTCTCCCCCCACCCACCCCACATGCTTCATTCAAGGACAGACAGAATGTAAACCAACTTCTAATGACATAAACCTATCTTCTAACACTATAGATTGGTATGACCTGTTTTTGAACTTCACATAAGTGGAACAATATGGTATGCTATATGGTTCTGACTTCAATATTATGCTTTTGAAATTAATCCATGTTAAGGCATGTAGCTAGAGTGTTTATTTTTATTTCTATACTTTATTCACCGTGTAAACATATAACAGTCAATTTATACATTCCCTATGGATGGCCATTTGGGTTGTCTCTACTTTTGGCTTTTACAAACAGTGCAGCTTTGAGCCTGTCCTTAGACAAATATATTAATGCACGTCTGTGGGCATATTTCTAGGAGTGGAACTGCTGGTTCATGAGGTACTGTCAGCTTTAGTACATGCTACCAAACATTTTTCCAAAAAGAATGAATCAACGTACCACTTCCACCAGCAATGCGTTAGAGTTCCAGTTCCTTAACACTCTTGTCAATGCCTGGTACCCTGTCTTTTTTATTTTAGGAATTTATAAATTCTCGTGTGCGGGTGCAGTGGTATCTATTGGTTATTCTGCATTTTTCTTGCTGGATAGAATCCTTTAAACAATTTTTGTTTGATATATGTCCTTCAAACATGTTCACTCTTTCTGGGTTTGCCTTTGTCAGGATCTTAAACAGTATTTTGAGGAAGAGAAGGGCTGAAATTTAATGTAGTCCAATATATCTACTTTTTCCTTTGTCATCAGGGATTTTGGTGTCCTCATGAAGTCTTTACCTAACCCAAGCTCATGCCGGGCAGGTGGTAGAATTCGTGAAGCTGGGTTTTCGGAGAATCTTTATGTTTACCTTTGACATTTAGATCTATAATCATCTTGCACTGACTTTGTACATGCTGTGGTGTAGGGG